CTAACTGGTTTTGAGAACTTGGAGAGGTCCCAAAGAAGAACAATAAAAATGAAAGATGGGTTAGAAAACCAGCCCTTATAAGGGAAAGATTGAAAATCAGCCTTGTGTGGGATGCTAAAGAAAGTTTAGCCTTTCTAAGGGAAGGGGTGGTGGCACTGAGTCCCATGGCCGATGCTTGATGACAGAAGGCAACACATCTCAGTTTCTTCTTGGTCAAGTCAAGAGAGAAGTGCAGTTTTTCCTTGCATCATGTGTCTCTCCAGCAGGTTCCAGAAGGCAAAACTAGACCCACATTCTTTCACCATTGTAATCCCAGAGCCTAGTAAAGTGCCCAGTCCATAGTGAGCTCACTAAATGCTTACTGAATAAAAAGGGGGAGCTCTAGGGATGCCTGGGTGACTAGTCAGTTAAGCGTCTGCCTTCGGCTCAGGTCATGATCCCAGTGTCCTGGGATCGAGTCCCACATCTGGCTTCTTGCTCAGTGGGGAGCCTGCTTCTCCCTCTGTCTGCCTCTTTCTCTCTGACAAATAAATAAATAAAATCTTTTTAAAAATGGGGGAGCTCTATACTACCCTGCATTCACTCCAGTGACTATTGAATGTTACCTCTTATTCACCCTTTAGCAGAACAGAAATATTTCAGGAACCCCTAATACTTATATAGTAAGCTACAGCTTTTATTTGTAATTGCTACAAGCCTTTAGTTGAAAAAACAAAACTAAACGACAAAATCTTTAAATGATAATGTCTAATGCTACTGAAGATATTGGGTATTATACAGAATAGAAGGATAAAACAATGTGAAACATAATTAGAAGTATATATCAAGATGTCTAAAAATGAACTAGTAATTCCACTGTGAAAAATCAATCTTATGTAAACAACTCTAAACACAGAGAAAAACAACTTCCCTAGATGTTGTGGCATTATTTATAATGATAAAAATCTGGAAGTAATGTAAAGGTCCATGTAGAAGAGACCTGAGCATGAGTGAGTCTTTCAACACCAGTACAATGTACAGATCATGCTCCAATATTACAAAGCAGCTTTCCCCATATTTAAGATTATTTCCAAGGGAACTGTTAAGGTTCAAGGGAACTTGAACAACTCCTAAGAAATACTACCCATCTTACAAATATATAATTTGGCATTTCCAACTTGTGGAGGGTTATGATGTTTTTTAAAAAACATAAAATGCAAATGAAAATAGCTCCTACCAGCTTTTTCCCATGTAAAGCTGTGAAACTAAATAGCCCTTGCTTCCAGAAAGCAACAACTAATTTAATGAAAGAGAAGATTCCTCTTCACTGGAGATTTACTTATTTGCAACAAAAGCTAAGGGGACCGTATCTGTCAATGATGCCACTGTGTCCAGCTATACTATCCAAGCTCATAAAATCTTATTAAAGTTAATCTGTGTTGATTATCTTTTCACACATAGCCTCATTTCCCCTCACTCTTAGGAACTGTTTCAGTTGCAAAAGACACCAGCTCACAGGAATCATCCTAAGTCAGAGAGACTACAGACTGGAAATATGGATAAGCTCTCCTGTCTTCCCTCTTTTTGCTAATGGGTCACAGCATTCTAATCTGCTGAACCTAATATGGCCTCAGAATCCTTCTCGAGCCACTATCAGTCACAGAACATAAGAAATAAGGTTCTTTCCTATCCTTGAATTCAATAATAAATCAAGGAAATTCACTTCCCTTCTACATTTGAAATCAAATGATTTCCCCATTGGCAAGTCAAAAAAGGGAGCATTGCCCCTTCAGAATCAACAGTATACAGGAATTCAACATTTAACGGCTTTTCTAAAATATTCAACTACTAAGACATTTTTATTTTGTTATTTGAGACATTTTTATTTAAAACATGTTTCTACAGAAGCAACTAAAGAAAGATAAGAACTATACTATACCAAGAAAATAAGGAGCTCCATAGTATGTGCATGTTTTGTGTGCATTTTCTCTCAAAACTTCACCACTTTGCCCTGATAATTGCCAAAACACAATTTAAAGATAATCAGAGTTATGATTATCTGGGATATAGCTCTCAATATATATAGAAATAATGAATCATTTCTTTTGCACAGACAGGGAAACTTGGAGATACAAGAAACCAAGGAAATCTCCTCTGAAAGATAGTTCCAAAAAACTAGGTAGCATGCCACCCAGGATCTTTTAATAAATACTTTCATTTGCTATTCCTAGGAAATGAAGAAATGGATGCAAATTTAAAATAAAACAAAACATACAAAGCCCCTCAGATGTTCCTTGAGCCAGTGTCACCTTTAAGTGTATAATAATGTTTATCTGAAGGGCCCTTTCAAGAGTCACCCTTGGGATTCCCATATTAAGCCAGGCTGAAGGCACTGAGGTTACCCGAAAGTATCTGACTAACATGCTCTTTAAATCTCTCCCCTCATGAATCTCACCTGGAAGATGACAGAACTATAAAAATCATCTCAGGCACAGCAAGAATCCTCATTTTTCATACAAAATATCATGTGCCTTTTCCCATACTGATTCTGCAAGGCAGCTTATTTACAAACACATAAATAGCTGCAACTTTACTCCAGTCTCATTGAAAAATCAAAATGGCATCATGCAAGAGAAGCATCCTAGCATACTTGGCTCAATGAGTGAAATGTAAATGGAGATGAGCCAAGCTACTTGACACTGGCTAGTCAGCTTAACCAGATACCCTCCAGTTTCCTGTAGTAGAGGTACCAGGGTTCTGCTCTGCAGAGCCAGGGAATTTACTTACATTGATAGCCCAGGGATCATGCAATGGTTTAGAGCTAAAGGTCGGAAACTAAGTGTCAGGTTGTGGCTGATATCTATTATCACACATATTCAAAGGGGAATAGCATTGCCTAAGTGTGGCAGCAAGATTTCCAGGGTAACCACTTAAAATTAGCTAAATCTTCTTATATTCAGTTCCAGTGAATTTTAAAAAGCTTTCCCTCCAATCCTTTAGCCACATGGACAGAATTACAGGAGTTTAAATTGTCAGGAAGAAGGCAGGAAAAAAAATGCACCTTAATTTCTGGAACAGGATTTGTTGTCTTTCTTAAATTCTTTAATTAAAGTTATCTACTACTAGTTAAAAAAAATCTAAATCTCTCTATATAAGAGATACATATTGACTTTTCTTTACCGGATATGAATAGCCAAACACAGACCTGTTGTACGCTGAGGTTTAATGCCTACGTATGAAGCCACCTAAAAAGCTGCCACAGCAGCACAGACCTGTACAGCCCTATCTGCCAAAATGCCCCACCTGATGATCACCCATCCTATCCCCCAAGAGCAGATGACTCTTCCTTAACACTCTTATTTCTTACCAATTAACGAGCAGTTTACTTTTAAGGAACCACATCATTAAACTAAATGCATCTAAAGTATCACAAAATAGAAGGTTTAAAAGAAAGTTTTCTCAGGGAAAAAGTGAGTGAGGGAGCTAGTTTACACAGAGCATCTGAGGATAGGCAACAAGATGACTAATGCTATTCCCCTTTGAGAATTCAAATGTGAAGGTTCTCAACAACCCTGTCTGGTAACCTAAATATTAGGCTCCTCATCAAGAAGTGAAAACATCCATATATGTTTTCATACAAAAACATCTATGTTGGATATTAAACCAGAGTTTTAATGCTTTTTCACTGCAGTGTATTCATAAACTGGAATGTTCATCTTGGACTCAATGACCAAATATCATGACCATATATGTTCTATCTGCCTTTTGGATGACTCAAGCTTTCTGAATTACTCTGTATCCATCCTCCAATCACATGTAGACCACAGGGGGAAGTATTATTGTCCTGTATAGTTCCTGACCAACGTCAGTATTTAATGGCATGTAATACTTTTTTTTTTTTAATCTCAGGCTTATCAGTAGAAAATGAATAGTAAAGATAACAAAGGAAAACTCAGGTAACTCAATTTTGAAATGCAATATGTATCAAGACCATCTTATAGTCACAGTATCATCTTATGTTACTATGTGTTCTACATAATATAGAAGAGGAATACCTAAGGGCTATGTTCTTTTGTTTTAATTTATCATGAAGCATAATAAATGTAGAAATGATTGCAATAAATACCAGTCTTTTGTCTCTAACTCTACATTGCGTCTTATGTTTTAAAGTTCACGTTTGAAAATCTTACTTTGGTTATATCTATTTTAAACATAAATAATACTTCTTCAAAATGGATTTAATTCCTCATATCAGTGAGATCATACGACACATATCTTTCTCTGATTGACTTATTTCCCTTAGCATAATACCCTCTAGTGAGGAATTCTTAATCTCAGGAAACAAACTGAGGGTTGCTGGAGTGGTGGGGTGTGGGAGGGATGGGGTGGCTGGATGATAGGCATTGCGGAGGGTATGTGCTATGGTGAGCGCTGTGAATTGTGCAAGACTGTTGAATCACAGATCTGTACCTCTGAAACAAATAATACACTATATGTTTAAAAAAAAAAGTAGGAAGGGAAAAATGAAGGGGGGGCAGTCGGAGGGGGAGACAAACCATGAGAGACTATGGACTCTGAAAAACAAACTGAGGGTTCTAGAGAGGAGGGGGTGGGGGGATGGGTTAGCCTGGGGATGGGTATTAGAGAGGCACATATTGAATGGAGCAATGGGTGTTACACGCAAACAATGAATCATGGAACACTACATCAAAAACTAATGATGTAATGTATGGTGATTAACATAACATAATAAAATAAAATTAAAAAAATGAATTTAATTACTATTCTACAAAGATTACACCTGTATCTGTATTGGTGAATGATACTTATACCATAGAATGAGATCAGATTGCAAAGATTATTAAAAACAACAAATATAAAAACAACTCACTTACCACAGCATTCAAGTAATTACAATACTATTGAGAAAATTTTTATCTTTTAAACAAATTATTTGGAATTTCCTTAGAAAATAGTTTGTATAGTATTATTAAAATGTAAAGAAAAATGATTTTACTTACATGGTATCTCTAATAAGAAATGCACTTCCCAATTTGAAACAGGTTTTATCACCTTCACAAAATGCACGTCTCAGAGAAAAGCTCTCTCCTAGGTCAAAACCTATAAAATGTGACAAATGATTTAATCCAGTAGTTTTGTTAAATTTAGGAAACCCACAAAAATACTGATATCTTTAAATAGGACTTTTTTTGTTGTTCTTACTTGATTTCAATTTTCTCCTTTTAGTATATATACAGGAGGATGAAATATGTTTCAAAAGACTCAAAAATTAATTTTCTTTGACCTAGCAATTATCCTAAGAAAATAATCAGAGCAGCTCATTGTAGCATTTCTGATGTTTAAAGACAGAAAATCTGTTAAGTAAAAAATATGACAGCAATTGAATTGAAATTTAAGCAGTCTTGTTTTAAAAAAAATCATGCCTTAGAAGAATATATATTGATGTGAGGCAATGCTTTGATTTCAAATTCAATATAGGTATTAATGATTACATGTATGTGTGTGAGAGAGGAAGAGAGGGAGGAGAAAGAAAGACAGAGAAAGAAAGAGGAATGGTACACCAAAATGGGACTCCTGGCTATCTTTGGGTAGTGAGAATTTTCTCAGAAATTTCCTTATCTTTTTTCAAAATTTCTACAATGTATACAACACTTCCATAATTTTAAGTAACTTTTTTTTCCTCCAAGAGGCTGAGTTGTTCTTAGTTAATATAGTACTCTGCTCTTAACACTTTTTTCCACATCATTTATCTTCTTTCTTTTTAATTTCTCATACTGAGTTTATCATCTTAAATTACAATGTCAAAAAATCACTTATGATATAATACACATATGGTGAGAATTTCATACAAACACTTCTCTGCAAAGGATTATAATGCTTACCTGAAATTTCAAGCTTATCTCTGTTGTCCTGGGTAAATTGATGTCCCTCTGTTCTCAGTAAAGGACACTGTCTTTCTATTAAAAAAATTGAAAATTGAAGATGTGCACTGCATTTTTAATTGATTTTTTTTCAAATAAGTTTGAATCAGACAATACAATTAGAAACTTAAGATAAAATGAAAATAATAAACCATTTTACTAAATTTGTATAGATCAAGGATAAGAATATTACCCACCTCAGAGTATGTTTGTGAGGATTACATATGCCTGGTACAGAGTCAACACTTGCGCTAGCTATAATTATTATTATTATTATTACTATTACAATATTACTCTTTCTAATTGTTGCTATACATTTTTGAAATTAGAAAATTATCTAGCTTTAACATCATTAAATTTTTATATTCAAAATATGTTCTAATATTAAAACAAATGAACTAATACTATATTTGAACACAGATTTGATTGAGGTTTTCTTGCCAGATGGTATTAAACTTTAGATCAGAAGAGGACTGCTATGGACTGAATGTGTCCCCCCAAAGTTCATATGTTGGAGCTTTGATCCCCAATGCGATGGTCTTTGGAGGTGGGGCCTTTGGGAGGTAATTAGGTTTGGATGAGGACATACAAGTGGAGCCTTCCTGATGGGACTGGTGTCCTTACAGGGGGATGGAGAAACAGGAGCTCCTCCACTCCCTACGATATAAGGAAACCAGGAGGAGAGCCCTCACCAGAACCTGGCTATGCTGAAACCCTGATCTCAAGCTTCCCTGCCTCCAGAACAAATGTATCATGAATTTCAGGGGTGGTGAACGGGCATCATCTAAATATATTTAACTAGAAAAATTAATCAGATTCTAATAGCGCTGTCACTTAATCATATTTAAAAGTTGCAATACACAAATGTAAAATTGTAGTACTGAATAATTTTAGAGATTACTTAGCTACTTTGAAAATCCCTATCTCAGAGATCTTAACAGGACTGCAGGTCTGAAATGATAGTAAAATTGGATATTTTGTAAACATTACCAATTTTTTACCCAAAATCATAGTCATTTTTATAAAAACCAAGCATTTCATCAAGATCACTATATTGAAAATTAGAGAACACTGCTGAGGGAGATTAAAGTCCTAAATAGCTGAAGGGATAAACCAAGTATTTACACTGGAAAACTCAATATTGTTAAGACATCAACTCTCATTTTATCCCTAGATTCAGTACAATTCCAATTAAAATCCCAACAGGGTGTGTGTGTGTGTGTGTGTGTGTGTGTGAGAGAGAGAGAGAGAGAGAGAAAGAGAGAGAGAGAGAAACTGACAAGCTGATTCTCAAATTTATATGGAACTCTAAAAAACTAGAATAGTAAAGGCAAAAACGAAGAACAAGATTCACTACACTATCAGATACCAGAAATTTTTATAATGTGGGATTAGTGCACATATAAAGAGCTCAATGGAACAGAGTAGAAAGTCCAAAATCAGACCTGTGCATATGTGGTCCTCTTATTTACCACAAAGGAGCCACTGTAATTCAGTGGGAAAAGGATGGTCTTTCCAGTAAATGTTTCTGGCTGAACGGGATCTCCACACAGGAAAACAATGAGCCTTGACTCTTACTTCACACCATGCAGAGAAATAAATTAGAGATGATACCAGACCTAACTGTGAAAGGTAAAACAATAAAGGACTACAGAAAAACATAAGATCTTCACGAACTTGAGAAAGCAAAGATTTCTTAAAGGGACACAGAAAGCACCAATTACAAAAAACTGATAAACCAGTCTTCATTAAAATTAAAATACTTATAAATCAAAGGACAACATTAAAAGAGTAAAAAAGAGCCATAGACTATTGTAATACATATATCTGATCATGTATCATATCCAGAATATACAGAGAACTCTCACAAATTAGAAAGAAAAATATTGAAAGTTCTATTTTGAAAATGCGCAAAATATTTAAGCACTTCACAAAAGTGAAGATCCAAATTGCCAACCCACATGTGGAAAGGTATTCAACATCATTAGTAATCAAGGAAATGCAAAGTCAAACCACAATGAGATACTGCTAAATGACTAAAATTTAAAAAACTGACAGCACCAAGTTTTGATGAGAATGTGGAGCAAGAGAACTCTCCCACATTGCTTGTAGGAGTGGGAATCAGTGCAACCACTTTAGAAAACTTGACAGTGTTTACTAAAGCTAAATATCCATGAACTCTATGGCTTGGAAATTCAACAGCCCAAGAAAAATGAGCACAAAAAAATGAGTGTAAATAACCCTTTTAGAAGAGAATATTCATTGTAGCATTATTGATAATAGTATAAAACTGGAAACAATCCAAATGTTCACTGACAAGAGAATAAATGAATAAATTGTGGTATTGTATATACAATGAAAAATTGTACAACAATAAAAAAGAATAAACTTCTGACACATGCAACAACCTCAATATCACAGATACATTATTAAATAGAAAGAATACCATTCCCAAAAGAATACCATTCTGCATAATCTCATCTATATGAAATTCAAAAGACTGTACAACTAATTTACGTCAAGGTACGGGTTACCTTGGTGGGACGTCAACTGAAAGCGGATACAGGAAAGCCTTCTGGGGTTCTGGAAATGTTCTATAATTTGATCTGAGTGGTAGTTACACAGATATATAAATGTATATATGTATATGTAAAAATTCATTACACTGAGCATCTAAGATTTATTGACCCTTAGTGTGTACCTCAACAGGAAGAAAACAGCATATCTGTAAGAAAACAAGCTAAAAATCATTCTTGCAAAACAAAACAAAACAAGTGAAATTCTGATCAAATTTTTATAATGACTTTGAATGACTATATGATGGTAATAAACAAGATTAAATTCTCCACAACGTATGTAGGGAAAGCCCAACAGATGACTGACAAAACAAATCTCAAGACAGTGGAAAGGGAGTTCCTACAAAGATGCTTTCATCATGAGGGGAAAGTATGCTGGCCTACCACCAAGCTGGAAACAGTATATGTCTTATTTTTAAATTCTTCCAAAGACTTAATGAATATATGATGACATCAAAGTAATAACCCTGTCACTTTGAAATGGACAGAATTCAACATTTCCAGCAATGTTCATGAAAGCAATTCCCCACTTAAGTCTTTAGTTTATGAAAATCAAATATAGCTTCACATATTTAGAACATGTGCTTTATTGTGAAAATCTGAACAAAACAAAGGAAAACTAAACGTTAATTATTTGGGGGTAAGATTCAGGGTACAATAATAATCTGAATGCATGAGTCTTAGGGATCCATCACATACAAATAGCAAGGCAGTAGATGTGGCTATCACAAGCTGGATGTGTTAACTTCTATAAATATTGACACGTAGATTTTAATATAAAATAAAGTACACTTTTTGAGTAAATGTGCATGTGCCTTGAAGAACTACTGATAAGATCCAAATATCCTATCAGGTAGACAGAGGAGAATTACTGCTGCAGTGAAACTCCCAAGTTTCTCTGGAATATTTCAAAAGTAATTACTAAAATTTCACCACAAAAGATGTACTACTTGGGGACCCTTAATCGACAGACCTTTTGAAAAGCAAATGCAAAGGTTTCTGACAAATTCCTGCTAAGATGTTGTCGGTGATTGTCAGACCCACTTTCCTCCTGTCCTGTTTTGAAGGACCTGAGCAGCTCACCGGATTGGAAGGTTACTGAAAGGAGGGCAGCTAGGTCCAATTTGGGTAGATTATGGGTGTGGACCCCAACTCGGGGCTCGAACCCCTGACCGTGGATCAAGACCTGAGATGAGACCAAGAGTTGGACGCTTAACCAACTGAGCCACCCAGGCACCCCCATCACTCTTCTTTTCTAACATGCATTAAGGAAAATTGTTTTCCTTACTGTTAGTGATAAAACCCATAACACGGCATTTGCTTCAAGATTAGAATCGGGAAGGTGAAGAGTAGCAATTTGCCACAGATGCAGTACTGGTCTGTTTTCTTTTCGTAAACAGAGCAAAGAAGAAACTGTAGGTGTTTCACATTTTTTTTTTTTTTTAAAGGCTAAAACAGACTCTCTGTTGGGCTGAGGGGGAAGCAGGCCTTTTTATTTTATTGTTACTGGTTCCCTGCAGGCCTCCTGTATATTTCGTACTTGGATAACAACTCTGATAAAGGATTATAGAGAATCCTGGGCGAGGAGAAAAACATTGGTTTACAAATATAGGTAAAGATCATCATGCCAAAATATAACGAAAATAATATGGAAAAGCGACCAAGAAAAAAAAAAAAAGAAATGAGAACACAGCTATTTTAACAAAAAAGTCACAAAAGGTCACAAAATCTTCACAGCTTCTTGCGGGTTTGTTGTTGTTGTCATTGTTTTAATACAAAGCTGTTCCTCCAAAGAATACCTGGTTACGAGCTATAATTTTTATTTAATAATTATGGAACTTTCCTCCACTTTAAAAATTTAGGAGTTACAAAGTATATTTGTCAGTTATATGGTACCATATTGAACATGAGGAATTCTTAAAAACACAAAATTAAATTCTCTATATGATAGCATACTTCCTACTCTGAGTTTAAGAGTGCGGTGTGTAGTCAATTAATTAAAGCCAAATTTCAGAGTAACAGTTTTTCCTTGTAATTTACAGAAAACTAGTTTTAAAAGGTATATGCACATGGTCTAGGGCCTAAGTTTATAATCAATTCCATCTAGATACTTAACCTGATGTTTTACCATAAGAAAAAGAAATGGCATTCTATTATCTCTCCTTTTATCAAGTCTGTTTTTTTGTTTTTTAGATGGGGGAGGGGGAGAGAACCAGAGGGAAAGGGAGAGAGAGAACTTCAAGCAGGCTCCACACCCAGCACAGAGCCTGATGAGGGGCTCCATCTCATAACCCTGAGATCATGACCTGAGCCAAAATCAAAGAGTCAGAGTTTAACCTACTGAGCTACCCAGGAGCCCCTGGGTGGGGGGAGGGATTTGTGGCTTTTCCTTACTCTGGTTTGCTGCTTTTATTATTTTTGATGGTAACTTAGTACTTTGGCCTTAGACCAGATTTAGGAAAGTAGAACAAAAAGAGGAACCTTTAATTTTTCAACATATAAACTTCTATCCTAACAGAAAATTTTAAGAAACGGATTAAAACAAGTTTTAAGATCTACATAATGTATATATTTAATATGGTTCTCTTCCCCATCCTCTTTTGACAACTGAACTGAACTGCCACATTCAAATTGATTATCTGCAATATGAAAATATATAAATATGCCTTAACTCATAATCTCAACATAATAGTAAAACTGATGACTAAGAAACAACTGAATTCTTAATAGCTTCAAGATTTTAAAATTCAAGTTGTATTGAATCTTTCCGTATTACTCTTGAATTCTGTCCCAACTGGAACAATATCCCGAGTATCATTAAGCATACCATAGAGTTAAAATAAAGCAATTAGAAGGCTCAATTTATCCTTCGTATATTTAGGTTTAACAGTAGACTGCTGACAACTTCACAGACTCGAGAGTTGAAACCCTAGCCTCTCCCTCAGATTTGTTATATCTTATTTTTAGATGTAATCACTTCCCTCCGGTAAATGGTTAGTGACCACACACGCAGGTCTGCACATGAGGAAACTAAAAAGGGAACCTTGCACTGTGAATCAGAGACACAAGACACAAGAAGAGCCCCCTGTCAGGCCATGCCCAGCGTGTCATATTCTTCAATAATCCCTGTGGCAGTGCCGCGCTGACATTTTCAATTAATGCAAACGATACCTGAAGTTAAACAATTTCCATGGCACGTTCAGTATGTGTTGCTTCAGGAACACTTTCTCTCAAACGGCCTGATAAAAATCAACTCTTCATTTTTGTCTGTATTAATTTCCCTCAGTGCTTCATATTATGTGAATCTTGTTAGAGTTCAGATTAATTTTGAATTCATACTTCTTAGAAAAATCTTTTAGAAAGATCAATTTGGTACAGTTAATTGGACCAGAATATATGCATTTCAGGAGTCCTACATACAATATAACCTGATTAAAGAATTGAGATACCAAAGCTGCAAAAGCAAAACATCCTGGGGAATCCCAAAATGGGGAAGTTTCAGTCACACAAGATGATTAAGTTCTAGAGATCTGCTGTGCAACATTGTGCCTATAGTCAACAATACTGAATTACACACTTAGATATTTCTTAAGAGGTTAGATCTAATGTTAAGTGTTCCTACCACAGTTTTTTTTCAAAAGAGTTATTAGAGGCAAAAATAACATAAAATAACATAAAGTAAAATAAGATAATACAAAGGGAATCTGGTAGCATAAGATGCAAGATAACCAAGAAAGAAAAGGAAAAAAAGAAGAAAAAAATCTCAATTAATTATTCCAAAAGTGAATGTTTCTCCCAATGTCTTCGTCAGACACATTGCATTAGATACACCTGGGGAGCTTGTTAAAAATGTAAATTGCTGAATCCCACCCCAGCCTATCCTGCATAATGACCATCTCAGAGTGGGATTTAGGAATCAATACCCCAGATGATTTCTGCTCAAACTAAAATTAGAATTACATTTATTGTAGATCCTTCAAACATTATTAAGAACATTTATTATGCACTAGCACGTCCCTAAAAACTGTGTCCTGCTCAACCAAAGATTCATTTTCCTTTCTAACCAAAGAAGTCCTATCCTCTCCGTATAAGTTGCAAATCCCGTTACCTACTAGTGTTCTTAAAAGGAGGAAACATAAAGAAATTAAGAGTAGCAACATTATCAGAATGAACTCTCCTTGCCCTATGGACTTTCTTTTGTCATGAGTCAATTCTGATTTATTTCTCACTGAAGAAAGAGTTTCCCCCCCAAAAAATATGACAGCCTCAGGATATCATTGATAGAGCAGTAGAATATTAAAACTTTCATGTGGATTATTAGGAAATGCACCTCCTGACAAATTAATATAAAAGTCATAAAGACTTACATAAAGCTGAGAGACTAAGACTTGTTATATCTTTATAAGAGACTGTTTTGATTCTATGTGTGCTTCAAACTCAAAAGTCTCTACCAGGCTGTGTTTATACCTGCTTAGCAAAACTTATTAAAGATATATTCAAAAGAATAAGCACAATAAGACTCAGAGTTTCAGAATACATCAACATATGTGACCATCATCAGAATATATCTTATGTGATCATTTGCATAGGAGAGTTGAAGTTTCTCTTTGCTTAGCAAATGGCTTCTCCAGTGTGTCTAGTTCGACTTAGAAGTACATCTAGATCAGTAATTTACAACTCAAAGTTCAAGAAAAGTTTTCCAAATTAGCCACATAATCATTTTCAAAAATCAGAGGTGAGAGTAAATGTTTCAAACTGCCTTCAAGCCATTTGGAAACATTTGTGAAGTTGATAATTTAATAACTGCAAATAAATATTATCTATTTAGTGCAAAAAGTGCTCTAACAACTGTTAATCTTTTGTTCATTTCATCTGCGATACTATAGAACTTACATATAATTAAACTACATTTCTTTTTATATCTCCTATTCTGTTTTTCGCTTTTGACTAATTAAGATTAGGTATGTTCCTGGTTAAACCTAATTAGTGATAGACTTATGTACTTCTAATTTGAATAACTTATAACAGAGGGGAAAAGGAGAAAAATACACACAGAGAATTATGCACACAAATTTATATTTATAAACATCAATGAGAGAAAAGAAAGTCTATTTAGACTGATATACATATGGGAAAAATGAGGTAATTTTAGAAATTCTCAATGTGCAACATGAAAGGTCAATGGGGAAGAATAATGAATTATTTATTTTGTACTAGTAGATTTAATCTATGGCCTCCTCAACCCCAACAACTTATTTTAATGATTTTAAAAATAACCAAAAGGCTATAAATAACATTTAGTGACTGGACAAAAGAGGTGGCTTGGATACCTGACTTGTCCCTGACCGTCACGGAAATGGAAGCAGGAAGCAGAAGCATTGCCACCCAGAGCCATAGTTTCCAAGAACCAGCGTGCCTCATTGTGCCTCGAAACCATGTGAACAAGTGGCCACAGATCTGCAACAAAACAAAATATTGGAGCTGAGCTTCTTGTATACGGTTCCTCTCATCATGATCTCTAGAAAACCCTCATCACCAAAGAGAACACAATAGATTTTTACAATATATATAATTATATAATTGGATATACAATTATATATGTAATGATACATAATAACACAATATATACCTTAATGTGTATGAAAAAGCTCCAAAAATATTTTCTGATTAGTTCCTAATTATCAGTGTCCACAAAGCCTCTTATGCCTTAAATTTTCTCTTCCTAACATGTGTTTTTTAAAACTATACCACTTAAAGTGATTTTTGTGTGTGTATATATATTTCTAAATGCTGGTAAAACACACCTAACATAAAATCTACAATCTTTTTCAGTGGCATTAAGTACCTTCATATTATTGTGTGATCATCACCACCATCTATAACTTCTCATCTTGCAAAACTGAGACTGTAACTATTAAACACTAACTTCCCATTTCTCCCTCCCCCAACCCCTGGAAACCACCACTTTACTTTCTGTCTCTATGAATTTGACTACTCTAGGTACCTCATATGAGGGGAATCATACAGTATTTATCCTTTTGTGACTTTATTTCACTTAGCATAACGTCCCTAAGTTTCATCCATGTGGTAGCATGTGTCAGAATTTCCTTCCTTTTTAAAGCTGAATAATATTGCACTGTATGTATATACCATGTTTTGTTTATCCATTCATCTGTTGATGGACACTTGGGTTGCTTTTGATTATTGTGAATAATGCTGCTATAAACACGAATGAACAAATACCTGTTCAAGTCCCTGCTTTTAATTCTTTAGGGTACATACCCAGAAATGGAGGTGCTGGATCATATGAAAATTCTATTTTGAATTTTCTGAGTAATGATTGTACTGTTTGCCATAGCAGCTGCACCATTTTATATTCCCACCAACAATGCACAACAGTTCCAAATTCTCCACATCCTCATCAACATTATTATTATTAGTAGTAGTTTTAATAGCAACCATCCTAATGGGTGCAAGATGGTATCTCATTGTGTTTTGGATTTTCATTTCCCTAAGGATTAGTGATGTTGAACATCTTTTCATATGTTTATTATCCATTTGCCTATCTTCTTTGGAGAAATATCTATTGAAATCCTTTCCCCATTTTTAAATCTGGTTTTCTGTTGTTGAATTTTAGGACTTCTTTATATATTCTGGATATTTGCCCCTTTTCAGACATGATTTGCAAATATTTTCTTCCGTGTTGTGGGTTACCCCTTCACTCTCTTGATTGTGTCCTTTGCTGCAGTTTTTTTATTTGTATGTCGTCCAATTTACCTATTTTTCTTCTAACCTGTTCTTTTGGTGTCATATACAATGATTTATATTTTTAAAATATAATCTTATTATTCACAATTCTATTTTCTCTTCTGAATATTAGTGTTACATACTTTGTCTCAACTGATATTACATTTTCTATAAACTTAACTATGTTGTTACTCGGTTGAACAATCACCACTGCTGGAGGGATTACTAGACATGTGAAAAGCAATCTTTCCTTCTGTTCAAAGAGAAAAATGGATATATGCCATGACTACCTCACCTGAGCCTACCACTGGCATCAGATTTAACATTAATGTGTTACCCTCCAGAATCACTTGTCTTTCTAAATATAGACTACTACTTTATAGGTATTACAATAAAAGATTTAGTAAATAGAATCCCTATAATGGAAAACTTAAATATTACTTAAATTAATTTTTAGAGTGAAATAACTAAACATGGAAATAAATTGCAAATAAAAATATAATGGCTCCTTCAGTGTATTTAACAATTGCAGTATTATTAGAATAGCTATTCTAAGACTTCTAAATAGGCAAATAATATTGAATCATTTATTTGCTATCAAAGTTTACTCAAGAGTCAAGTATAAAAGAATCTATCATACCAATGTCTAAATGTTGTCAGTACACACTCTAGAAAAAAACCAAAGCCATACTATTTGGTATTCTGCATGTGCAAAATACCCTAAGATCAGCATTTTAAAATTAATTCAAGATTTTAGATATTTCTGGATGAATAGCTAAAAGCAGCAACTGCAATACTAAAATCGTATGTGTGATTCTAAATATCAAACATCTGGTTTTATGCCTTATTTCTTTTGAACTCTTTTATCTAGATATAGTCCTAATCCTCATATGACTTTGCAAACTTATCCTATTATTTCAAATCAGTTAATAACTATAAAAGCAATTACTTTATTTCAAATAAATGAACTCACAAATATTAATCTAATTATTGAAGAGATCCTTTGATTGCAGTTTTAAGTAGCGATTTCTTATCTTCTAGAAATTTTTATGACTTAAAGGGATTTCAATTACTAAAACATAAACAAGAAAAAAAGAGCAAGTTTTACACTATTATAATCATTAAACATTCAATAAAAAATTACCATGCAATAATCTTGTACAGATGGATTAAATCAGAAAATTTTACCAAATATTTAAGCAGTAATTATCACTGAACTTTCACTTAAAAAAATTTCAGAGAATAGGCAAAGAGTAAATCATTAAGTCAGCAAAATTATTACACCATATTCGACAATGATTTTTTTTTGACAATGATATTATAAGAAAAGAAAATTACAGGCAAATCTCTCTCGAACACAGATGCAAAACTGTCAACAAAATTTTCGCACAGTAAAGGAAACCATCAACAAAACAAAAAGGCAACCTACAGAACAGGGGAGGATATTTGAAATGACAGATCGGATTAGGGGTTAGTATCCAAAATATATAAAGAACTCACACAGCTCAACACCAAGAAAACAAAAAATGGAGTTAAAAAAATGGGCAGAAGACATGAAGAGACATTTTTCCGAAGCAACTCTTATTAAGAGTTGATAACTTAGCAGTGTAGTATAGTGGTGGAAATCATGGTTTCATGTCCAGACTTTGTCACTTATGAACAAGTTATGTAATTTCACTAAGCCTTCATTTATTTACCTGAAAACTGATAATAACACTAGCAATAAATTATTTAACACCTGGGGAAAGTATAGTAAAGATCCTTGAACATATTAAGTATTCAAAAAATTACCTGCTATTATAATTGGTTGCTCTACAAATTCACAAATAATAATAAATAAAAATGTAGTTATATTTATCTCCTCAGCCTGAGGTTGACATTGATATTTGGACAATGAGGAAATGCTGAAGCATCCTAGAAATTTATGTTCATTGAAGCTTTGGTCCCTGTTACAGCAACAAAGAACCAGAGAGCTATACAAGCATATTAATTCAATCTTGAGGTCTCCCAACTGTTTCCTTGAGCCACTTAGAGATTGATAGCACTTAGCTTCAATCTCATTTATGCAAAATGTTTGAAGAAGATATGGATAGTTGACTGAATGTCCTAGTTACTGATGAATTGCCATTCTACCCTCCCTTGAAATGTCTCTCACCAAGTTCAGCAAGAACTTGAAAGAATCCTTTTCTCTCACTATCTAATTCAACTTTTGGTGCTATTTCCAATAGCTGACCACTCCCTTCTTCTTGAAATCCTCACTCTCATTGGCCTCCCTGCCCTCACACTCTCTGGGATTTCCTTCTAAATCCCTTCTCAAATCTTGTTTCTACCTGATTTCTTAATCCTGGGATCTGTGGGCCCTCCTTGCCCAACTCTTATAAGGTCTCCTTAGGTGATCTCACCATTCTTTTCACTTTAAACGTATCTGTTAGATAATTCTAAAATTTGTATGCCCAGTCCAATCTTCTCTGAACATTAGATTGTGTAGCCAGCTGTCTATTCTATATTCTCTCTTAGATGTTGCACAGACACCTGTAACTTATTATGTCCAAATTAAATGCCTGATTCCCAACCACCGTGTACTCCTCTCATGCTCTTCCCACCCAGTCTGTTAGCACCCACCAAAATGCTCAAACCAGGAACTCAAGCATCACACTGATGTTTCTGTCTTCCTCATCACCATCTCCCACAACCAGTCAGCAAGTCATATCAGTGTTACCCCAAACCCAACTCAAATCCATCCACTGCCCTCCATTCCTCTGCTGTAATCCTAGTTCAGGTTACCCTGGGCTAGACTCCTCAACAGCTTCCTAACTGGGCACTAGAGAGCTTTTCTTTAAAAAAAAAAAAAAAAAAAGAGAGTTTTTTTTTTTT